TTATTAAGAAACTTATTCCCCGAGTGCCAGTTTTCTTCATGAACGCAGAGTCCTCGGAGTGAAAGTTCCTGTAGTGGAAACTTGGCTGGTTGTAAATCTGTCCAAGGTTCTGGTTCAGATTTGAGCTTTAGGGGGGCGACTGTAACTTAGGAGCAGCTTACTTCCTGTTAAGGAGCTTAATGTTTACATCACCCATGCTTTTCACTGCACTGTAATGTGGAATTATCTTGTACCGCCTGCGCTTCCTGTTCGTCTCTCTTGGCGTAATACTCCTTCAGGTTGGCTCCTCGGTCCCACTGAGCTCCTCCGTCACTTCCTCCTCTGCCCCAACCCGAGTTTCCTGCTCCTGCGTAACCCAGTCCGGTCACTCCTGGAACCGGCCCACTGACGCTGTCGTCCCCTGAGAACAATAAAGAAGGAGAAGCAGAAAGAAGCCGTCTGAATATCTGAACCCGTTTAATCCGACCCGCCTCACCACATTAAAGTAAGAACTTGTGATGTTTGGAGTCGTTAAGGCCACCATGCTGCCGGTACCTTGCTCAGCTTTCACTACCAGGTGAGGTGGTAGAGGACCGCTAGAAGGGAGGTTTCCAAAGCCGGAATCTCCAGCTGCATCAGGTTGATCTGCGATGGGAGCGCTCGCCTGATGGCAGAAAACGTACTTACTCATTTAAAAAAGACAAAGTGAGAGAAACGATCAGTTTTTATCTCTACAGAAAAAACAGAAGGAAAAACAGGAACGGCTTCCTGACCCCGAGGGCCGGGACCTCTGCTGCGTTCATCTCTCCGATTCGGACCAGATAGTTGACGAAATCGCGGGCGGCGTTGGTCTGCGCGTCCTTCTTATTGGTGGAGTTTCCCATCCCAATGTAGTTGAAGCCATCGACTCGGACCTGCAGGGAGTACGGTGTAAGGTTAACAAAAACTTCACCGAGTGAAACCCCCTGATGTCAGAATGAACGCTCACCTCACACATAAACTTCTGCCTGTTTTTGTTGCCCGCTGCTCGGATGTCGTAGTTTGGAGTCAGCTTCTTTTTCCCACACCAGGCGTACAGGAAGTTCTTGATGTCCGCCATGGTGGACTGACAGGAGGGTCCTCCTCTTCCGTGGACCAGTTAATCTGAGAAACAAACTGCTGTCAAACTCCTTGATATTTAGCTTAGATCTGGCATTTACTGTGAATCATTTGGTTTGGAGTCACAGAGGGATGAAAGTCAGTAAATGTTGCCAAAAATAGTCGGTTTGCTGAACTGAGGACGGATAATATCACATCTAAGAAATTATTGCAATAATTAACTGACAAACTCTGGTAGAAGCCTTGCTGCGGTCTGCTCACCACCTTTAAAGATCTTTGATAGTGACTCACTTATGTAAACATGGCTGTATGGATCACTTTGAGTCACTTTACTCAACATAAATATGCAAATTAAATGAAGTAACTCAAACCCAGTCTTGATGATGCATTTACTGCCCACCGCTAGGATAAATCCCGCTGTGTGCGGTGATTCGGGATACAAACGATAACAGCATCATTAGCACAGCGGGTCGTTTTTACTGTTGACTGGATTTCATAAAACACTGTTAGCATTCATTAGATTCAACTCTGTAATGTTTGGCTAGCATTTAACATTAGCCTCAAAGTGTAAAATTAAATTGATGACTTATAATCACGAATTTAAGTCAGTTATCTTTAAACTTTCAGTACAATTTATATAAAAATTAGTTTCTGATAAATGTGTGAAATTAACCGAATCAATGCGCGACTGCAGGCTAACGTTAGCCCCCTGCTAGCTACTTATCACCGGAAGTTCAACTCACATCGCGTCGCAAAAAAATATGATTAAATTAAGAAGAAATGCGGGGAAAAACAATCCGAAGTATTTGTACTTACAGCCAGGGCAGAAAATTGCAAAAGCTGCTCCACACTTCAGCAGCAAAGCGCCGGTAGACTATCAGCGTTGGCTTCCTCCGGTTACGCTTCACTTTCGGTTAAAAATAAACGTAACTCCCGGTGCTTCAGCGCCCCCTCAGGCCGGAGGGAGAATCGGCCTCCATCAAGTTCTGTCTCTTCTGTTTTTTTACCATTTTTTTTAATTTTTTTATTGCCTTTATTGTTCTAACACAGTGGAGAGAATACATGAAAGCTGTGCTCCATGTTCCTCTTTTCATGAACACTTTGGTACAGAGGTCAGTCATCTTTATACCAGCAAAACAGATTTGAGCTCCATAGTTATAAATGATCAAAACGGTGAAAGTTATAAAGCCAGGCCATTATAAACCTTTAGTTTATATTTAGAATAAGGATTAGAAAAGTATAAAAGAACAGAATAGAATAAAAAAAATAGAACAGAATAGATAAAATGTACCGAATTGATATTTTTCTGTATTCAGGCATTAACT